GGGGGGGGGAGTATGTCATTGTTTCTCTCGTTCTTTAAATACACACAGAGTAATATAGTAATGTTTCTAATTAATGAAGAAGGCATTAAAATCAAGGATACGGGAAATTTTAGCAGGCTTAGAATCAAGAGCAAGTGGTTCTTTTTTTAAAAAATAACATTTTCTGCTATTCATTCTCAAAAAAACAGCAAGTCGGGTATCACTGTAGTTGTGCAAAGACTTAGAAACTAAAGCCCTTAGAAATGAGGGATACTATCTTTTATCTGCCCTACAATTAATGGTACTGATTAACCTTGAAAGGGGTCAGGTATTTTACTTAAAGGTGGTTCAATAATATTAGTTGCACAGTACTCCTTGACATGAGCAGATTCACTAGAATCAGATACAGTATCCAATATAACCTTTCACAAAATGAGCAACAATCTCTGCCAATAATCAATAGGAAAATGTTCCTGTAACACAGAACTGTAAAAAGCACTTAAAAATAACAAACACATGGATTTTAACTAAGCTAAATGGACAGCACTTATACACTAACCAAATTTCTTACCTGATAGGGCTGAAAGGCACTATCTTCAGTTATAAAATCCAGCTGTTTGTCCACAAGGAATTCTACTGCAGTAATTGAATTGTATACACTTTTTCCAACCAAGGGCTTGAACGTCTATTGGAAAATAAGAAAAAGAAAAGAAAATTAACCAATTAAAAAAAGCTCAGCACATCAAACCCCCAGGACTGTATAAACACTGATGTAATTCTTCCATCAAAACAAGTTAAAACAGAATAACAATTACTAATTATACAAGAAAGAAGGATTTTTTTGTTTTGTCGTTTTTCCCTTGTGCCGTTGGTGGAAAACCAGCTAGAAAAGGGAACTACACCATACATTCTTCCTTTCCCTCATTGTGCTTGAGCAAGAGTGTTTACCACAGAAGCTCAAAGTACAGGAGCACGATTATATCTTAAGCATACAGCTTAGCACGCAGATCCTCTCTGCCTGCCTGCAGGACTAGCTAGCGCAGTGGTAATTACACTAAGGACGCTGAAGTGGAAACCGACTGCAGACGTGAAAACGCTCCCCGCCTTCCTGTTCTGAAATCGTTCACCTTGCCTCGAGTCAACCATCTCATTTCCCTGCCCGTCTCTGCATCTGTTCTGACTCTGCTGCCTGCCGCCCCCGCAGCCGCTCCTCCCTGCAGCAACCGGCTGCTCCGGCGCAACCGCTTTGGAGACGACAGCGCCCGGTCCCAGGGCTTTTGCAGCGGGGCCAGGAGGTTTTCTGCTTCCCCAGCATGTGGGAGGAAGCAGGAAACCCTCCCAGCCCTGCTGCAAAAAGCCAGGCATGGAGAAAGGGGAGCAGGGAATAACGGGCTCCTCGATGCCCCCGCGCAGTCTTTTCCCAAAGCAGCTTGCCTCGTCCAGGCCCAGCGGGGCACAGCCATGGGGCGGGAGCCCTGACTTCAGTGGGTCTCCCCCGAGAAGGGACGAGCAGGCAGTCCCGGTCCCTGCTGGCTGGGTTTCCTGGAACACAAGCCCAAGGAGAGCGTGACTGAGCGGGGATGTACCGAGAGGGGATGAGTCAGGTGAAAAGGAAATCCCAGCGGATGGAGGGGAGAGAAAACGCTGCTCTGAAGACAGATGGGAACAGCAAGAGGAAGGCACGGGTGAACAAAAGAAACGACCAGCAGAAAGAACATGCAGGATGCAAGGGGAAAAACCATGGAGGGGCAGAAAAAACAAATTAGAGAAAAGTTATTCTACAGGACAAAAAAAAAAAAAATAGCAACGAGGGAAAACAGGAAAAGAAAAAAGCCCTTTGAGACTGATTCTAAATTTAAAATGCAGGAGGAAAAGACAAAGAGGAGAAACAAGGGCAGGTCAAACCACATGAAGCGTTGTGCAAATGCTGCACCAACATCTGTTAAGATGCCGCTATCGCAACAGGACATCACTAGCTCACATGCAACGCCCCGCAGCAACAGACCCCAAGGACTTAAAGGGGAGGGCAGGATCACGGCTGCCTTTTTACAGATGGGGAAACTGAGGCAGGGAGCAATCCCGCAACTTGACAAAAGTCCCCTAAGCAGGGCAGCAGCAGAGTCAGCGACCTGCCCTCAGCCAGGCCGCAGGCAGCTCCTAAGAGAGGCACTCAAGGTTTTATCGGACTTCATTAACTACTTTACAAAGGTGTTGCCTTGCGATTAGGCTAAATATAACGCAAGCCTCTCTGGAGCTTCAGCTTTGGCACTTACTGAACAAATAAGAGAATACTTCACTGGAGATACGTAATACTTTCTAATAAACATATCCAACTCTACAAATGCTCATATTTAACGTACTGCATTCTTGTTTCCATTTTATTTAAGGTTTCACTTCAGCTGTTACCCTTTCTCACGCAAGCAAGGAAAAAGAAACCCTACCAGCCAGCCATCTCAAAAACAGGGTAACTACATGAAAGGGCTGGAGAGGCAGGAGAATATGATAATATGCTAACTACAAAGTCTGAATAGTAAATAATTATTTAACCTCTAATAGTTAAGGAAGGGCCTTTGCTCTTGCATCACTTTTCTATAATGGATCTTGTATTGCTAATGGTTTGAGTTAAGAGAGGGTGGAGTTCGCATCACGAAATTGCAAAGCGTTGAGTGTATAAACTCACAAGCAGACAAACTTTTCTTTAAAAAAAGTCAGCATCGTAGTCTTTCGGCTCTTAATTAGCCCCCGCGTCATCACATACACTGTTCTACTTTGTCCACTCTGGCTCCTTTCTAACTTTCTGTGCTATTATTCAGGTCAAGAAACGCGTTTCCGACTACAAACAACAGGACATACCACATCATTAGCCAAAACGAAACCGTGTGGAATGCGGCTTGCAGTTATCATTCAGGATTCAGACAACGCTACAGATTAAGGTATGTGTGAGCCACTGGTTTATCTTACTGCTGGTATTAAAAGAACTAGTTCCAAATATAGATCTGTGAGCGTGATTATTCTGAGAAGAGCACCCAAGTGCCTTCTCATTTGCTTTCATAGATCTAAGCCTCTAGACAGGCCAACGCCCCCAAAATACGCATGTGGAGGATGCAGGCTATCCCACAAGCACAGAGGAAAAATATGTAAATAAATAAAGCAAGACTACGCCATGTCACACACCTCCGCATATATGGATGGCTGCTCAGCTGCACACAACTTGAGATTTTTCAGACACTATTACAAAACATTCCCACTATCAAAGAACAACAAAACCCCACCCTTTAAAAAAAGCAGGCCTTCTCGGGCAAGCAAAGTCCAGACTCTATCGGCGCCAGGAGATAGGCAGGCCACCAAGGAGATATCCGAACCGGGACGAGTTAGGGATTTGAAAAATCTTAAGATGGAAGGCATGACCAAACTTCACACCACGCATCACATATGCACAAAGAAAACCAGACTAAGAGCACAGCAGGCAAGAGTCAGCTACTAGAGGCAAGCATGTGAGACATGTAACAACATGAAAATAAATGTAAGAAGGTCCAACGAGCTCCTTGCAGGCTGTCAGAGGAAGACGCTCCCTCCTTCCCTTCCCAAAGTGGAGGACACCTCTAGAGAGAATCAGGCATACTGGCCGAGACCAGGAAAAACTGAACCTCTTCAACCAAAAATCTCCCTTTCAAACTCACATAAAACTTCCTTTTACATCTACGTTAACCCAGCTCCCTGAAGACCACAATTAAGCAAAGGAGTCAAGCACTGAATTTTAAGCGACATCTGACTTCAGCACTCTTCTAAGTGGCTACTTGAAAAAAAACCCACTTTTTTTTCCCACCACATTCCCCTGCTGGGCCAAAGGGAGCTCTATGAACACACAGACACACTTTGGTTGGTTTGCTACCAAGTTCCCTGGTACTGAATAAACCGTATTTCTTGCTCTGCCCCCCCCATCTCCCCATGATTTTACCCCAGCTCATACAAGAAATAACCTGCCTGCGGGAGGCATCTGGCACAGCTCTGCGACAGAGAAGAGCTGGTTTAGGAGGTTAAGGCTTGGACTCGGATGATCTTCAAGGTCTTTTTCAACCTCAGTGATACTATGATTTCCAAAATCCAAACAGATTTTTTTAGCAAATATTAAGTAGCATCGCTTCACAGCAAACAACCTCAAAACTGTTCGATGGCACTCACCAAACACTCGCGAATACAGCGGATTACTCACGGACTGCTGCTTCTCCTAACGCCCAGTAACGCAGCTCATCTATTTATTTATCATTTCAAAACCCCCATGGCAACCGCAGGCCCTGCTTTCCCGAGGAAGCCGTACCGAGCAAAGCACATAGTGCATTTTTATCTCTGCCTAACGCAATTAAGCGGCTGTAGACGTGGTAAGCCGCCCCCAGCGTGCCAGCAGGCAGTTCCCTGGCACTGGCCAGGGCTCCGGGAGCGGCCGCACCCCGGC